ATAAGTCAGAGAACATTTTCTATAGCTTAGCATAACTGTTTCAGGTAAGAGGTAAACAGAGTTTACCCTATTCCTCCTTATGGAATAGCAGTAGCCCAGTTAAATGGATTACAGGATCCAGCTTGCAGACACAGCAGGAAGCTGAACTGCTGATCAGGAGTTAGCAGCACCTGGGCCCTGCTAACAGAGATGGATAAGATGACCATAAGGGGGAGGATGAAGGAACCATATAAGCCTAAACCACGAGCCAGAAGAGCTTAGATTCTCAAAAGCTGAAGAAACTGTGCTAGGAGCTTCACAGAGATCAGATATTTGTCTAGGACACCATATGTCAAAAGATGAGCCTAAAGCAGGGGTACTCAAGCCCCAGCCCACATGCCTGATCTGGCCTGCAGAGCTATATCATCTGGTCCATGGGTCTCTGGGATTTCCAAGCTCCATGAGCCAGATGATGTGGCCTCAGGTGCAGGGCGGGGGCTGGGGCTAGGGTTGCAGGCCCGATCTGGCATGAGTAGGGTTGGGGCCGAGGCCATGGGCCCAATTCAGTGAGCCTGGGGTCAGTCAGGGCTGGGGCCAGGAATAGCCTGGGGTAGCATACCCAGGGCAGCATGTCCAGGGCTGGGATAGCAGGCCCCATGCAGGGCCAAGGCCAGGACAAGTGACAGCCCTGATCCAGCACAGATGAGACTGGGGCCATGACCCTGATTCATCCTAAATGAGGTTAGGACAAGGGCAGGGGTTGGGGCAGCAAAGTCAAAAGCTTGAGCATCGCTGGTCTGCGGGTAACAAGCACCTGGGAACAGAGGGGAGCAGCTCCCAGTGGAAGCACCATGGAGAGAGCAGGCGAGAACTGACTGCCATGGGAACACCACACGTTGCTTTCAAATCGCGAGGTGAAACCCAGCCCACGCAAGAGCCCGAGCTCTGCTCCGCGCCTGATCCCCGCCTTCTCCGCGCGGGGGTGCCCGCCCCATCCCCCCGCGGCGCCGCTTACTCTTGTCAAGCGAGCGCGTGAGCTCTGCGCCCACGTCGTCGCCGGCCCCGAAGCCCTCGGGGTTGAGCTTCAGCGGCACGAACAGGGACGTGTCGGGCGCCCACGAGTCGTTCCTGCCGGAGGAGGAGGAGGCGGCGGCCCGGCTGGGCACGCGGGC